ACACTACTCTCCGGTTTTACATTGTACTCTACAGCTTTTTGGTGCCTTTCAGGTTATAAAGTTAATGCCCTGTCAGGTTATAAAGTTAACACATCTAAAACTGAAGCATTACCGCTCCAAGTACCTTCTGCCATCTTATCTTCTCTTCAGTCAAATTATCCCTATCACTGGTGTCCCCACTCCTTGAGGTAGTTAGGTACTAACCTTATGTCCTCTTACCACTCCCTTTATGAATCTAATTTTCCCCCCCTTATTCACGCTATTTCAAATCCTTAAAATCTTGGGACAAACTTGCCATCTCCTTCCTCGGCAGGATTAATGTGCTAAAAATGACCATACTGCCCAAGCTTTTGTATCTGTTTGAGACACTATGTCAGGGATCGCGGCTACGAATGGCTCCGCGCATGCGCGCAGAGCGCCGATCCATTCTAGCCGGCGGACACTAGGAGCTGGACGGCGGTGGCCGCGCATGCGCACCCGCGATCGCGGCCGCTCGCCTGGCACCAATGGCAGGGCAGGGCGCACTATTTAAACCTGCCCTGCACCTACACACATTGCCGTATGGTCTTATCCCTGTGTACCCGTATCCTGTTGTTTGAAGATTCGCTGCTGACCTGCTTGGACCTGACCTCTGCTGACTTCTCCTGCTTTGACCTCTCTTGTGGATACCCCTACCTGATCTGAACTACTGGTACCGACCCCGGCGAGTGACCTGACTATTCTTCTGCCTGCTGCCTTGTACTACCCTGACCTCGCAGGCGGTTGCTAACAGAACCATACGGCCATGACGGAGCCTGGAAGAGGGCCATCCCCACTCGGAGACATATGTCAGCAGTTGACGGCACTTACGCAAGCCGTCAAAATGCTGCAGGAGGGCTACATACATCTAGGGGACCGGATCCAGACATTGGCCGCACCAGCATCCCCATCCCAGGGCTTGGGTGCTCCTTCAGCAACCAGAGAACCCTCCGAACTGCCTGACCGGGCAGTAGTTACGTTGCCCCCACTGGAACTTCGTGTGCCATTACCGGAATGCTTCAGTGGGAATCGAGTTAAATTCAGGGCCTTCCGGATTGCCTGTCAGCTGTACTTTAGCCTGCAGCCCCCGGACTTTCTCTACGGAATCGGTGAAGGTGGGGTTTGTTGTCTCCTTACTCCAGGACGAGCCTCAGGCCTGGGCTCACCAGCTAATGGAGAACCATGATCCTCACCTGGAGACCGTGACCAACTTCTTTGATGCAATGGCAGTACTATACAATGATCCGCAGCGGGCAGCTTCCGCAGAATCGGCCTTGAACTTCCTCCGGCAGGGCTGCCGGGCAGCGGAGGAGTACACAGCCAAGTTCAGATGCTGGATGGGGGACACCAAATGGAATGATGCCGCTTTACGCCACCAGTTCCGTATGGGTCTGTCGGAGTCCCTTAAGGATGAGCTAGCCAGGGTGGGCCTACCTGACTCCTTGGAGGATCTCATCACCCTGGCCATACAGATTGACCACAGACTGCGGGAACGCAGATCAGAGAGGTCTAACCCAGGGCAGAGACCCACATGGGTACTTCCCCGTACTCCCATCCAGACTCCGCCAGGAGGAAGCCGGAACTCGATACCTGAGGAGATGCCCGAACCAACGCAGCTCGGGTTGGCACGACCAGCACTATCAGTGGAGGAACGCCAAAGGCGACGGGCACTCAACTTATGTCTCTACTGCGGGGAGGTAGGTCACATGGTACGTTCTTGCCCAGCGAAACGGGGTAAGTGTGATGCCGTCTTTTTCCACTGTATCTTCTAGATGTAGTACCCATGCTATTTACCTAGCCATTCCCATCTCCTTTCAGCTGCCTGGGAGGACCATGTCGGTAACGGCAATTATTGACTCCGGGGCATGTAGTTGTTTCGTAGATTTAGAATTTGCCAGCCAACAGAGGATCCCCCTCCAAACCAAGAAACGGGGGCTTAATATCTTCTTGGCTGATGGGTCACGCATCTAGTCAGGGCTAGTGGACCGGGAAACCCCACCTATCTGTACCACGTGGCTAACCATCATTGGGAGTTCCTCCGTTGCATCTCCCCTGTTTCCAGTAATCCTGGGACTCCCTTGGTTACGGGAACTCAATCCCCAGATTGATTGGGAAACAGGATCTATCCAGTTCCCATCATCCTACTGCCAGGATCATTGTCACGCCCCGACCACCCTGGCTCCCCAATCTCTCCTGTGTATTGACAGGGACACCGAGCTCATCCAGGTCATTCCCCCCAGACTACCATGACTACTTGGACGTATTTAGTAAACGGGGGGCTGACACTCTCCCTCCTCACCGAACCTATGACTGCCCCATCAACCTCCTACCAGGATCTGAGATTCCTTTCGGATGAATATTTCCCCTATCAGAGCAGGAATTGGGGGTCCTCAAGGAATACCTAGACGATAGTCTCCAGAAGGGTTTATCTGCCTCTCCACATCACCGGCCAGAGCAGGAATCTTTTTAGTGGAAAAAAAAGATAAGTCTCTAAGGCCCTGCATCGACTATCGGGACCTAAATAAAATTACCATAAAAAAATCGTTACCCCCTTCCCTTGGTCCCAGAACTACTCCAAAGACTAAAGACAGCAGTCGTATTCACCAAGCTAGATTTAAGGGGCGCGTATAACTTGGTTCGCATCCTTCTCTTGATGACCATAGGGGTCATGTCAAAAGCGTATTGAAACGGTTGCGCCAACATGGGTTGTATGCTAAAGTGCAGCTTTGAGCAGCACAGCATTACTGTCAGGGCTCCCAGGTATGACCAGAGATGTGTGACTGACGCAGGGAAACGCAGACTTCAGATATGGGATAAACAATATAATTTATTAACACTAACAATACAAACATAAACGCAGTGCAATACTAAACATAATACAGTGCAAACAAACCAAACCAACCACCCACAGATAACAGTACATACAAGCAAGCGTCGTCAGGCAGGCCGGGTCAATATCAATTGGGCAGGTAGGTACAGGGGGAGCAAGCGGAGAATGGTCGGGGTCACAGGCCAGGTTCAGCAGGTAGCAAGCAGCGTAGTACAGAGGGTCAAGCAGAGGGATGGTCAGGGTCACAAGCCAGGGATCAGAACAGGTAGCAAGCAGCGTAGTACAGAGGGTCAGCAAAGGAACAGAAACAGGATGCAGGACAGATACAGGGCCCAGGACAAAACACACACCAAGGCAGAGTCTGTGGGTCTGGCCATCCCTTAAATACCCCAGCATAATCAGTTCCAGGTGTTAGCTGGCTGCAAAGTTGAGTCTCTGATTGCTGGGAGCACCCGCTGGCCAGCCCTGGTACTGCAGATCAAAAGGCAGGTGAGTCCCCACCATTGCTGGCCAGTCCATTCCTGACAGTACCCCCCCCTCAAGGAGCGGCCTCAGGACGCTCCAAACAGTCCTAGCTGGGAAAAATGTTCCACCGCCCGGGTCTGGTAACTGGCGGGATATCAAAGAATGCACACCTGCAGGACTCCGGGCAGCGCGTACACCAGGCAGAGGCACATCGGGCTGGACACCGGGCAGAGGCACATTGGGCTGGACTCCGGGCAGAAGCACATCGGGCAGAGGCACACCGGGCTGGACTCCGGGCATGAGGCACACCGGGCAGAGGCACATCGGGCAGAGGCAAATCGGGCTGGACTCCGGGCAGAGGCACATCGGGCTGGACTCCGGCAGAGGCACATCGGGCTGGACTCCGGGCAGAGGCACATCGGGCTGGACTCCGGGCAGAGGCACATCGGGCTGGACTCCGGGCAGAGGCACATCGGGCTGGACTCCGGGCAGAGGCACATCGGGCTGGACTCCGGGCAGAGGCACATCGGGCTGGACTCCGGGCATAGGCACATCGGGCTGGACTCCGGGCAGAGGCATTGGGCCCCCAGGCGGGGCGACCGGCATCGGGCCCCCAGGCGGGGGCGACCGGCATCGGGCCCCCAGGCGGAGCGGCGGGCCCCCAGGAGGGGCGACAGGCATCGGGCCCCCAGGAGGGGCGACAGGCATCGGGCCCCCAGGCGGGGCGACAGGCAATCGGGCCCCCAGGTGGGGCGACAGGCATCGGGCCCCCAGGCGGAGCGGCGGGTGCCGGGCCCCCAGGAGGGGCGACAGGCATCGGGCCCCCAGGCGGGGCGACAGGCCATCGGGCCCCCAGGCGGGGCGACAGGCATCGGGCCCCCATTGTGGGGCGACAGGCATCGGGCCCCCAGGCGGAGCGGCGGGCGCCGGACCCCCAGGTGGAGCGACAGGTCCTCTCGGGCCCCTCAGGCGGAGCGGCGGGCGCCGGACCCCCAGTGGTGGAGCGACAGGTCTCGGGCCCTCAGGCGGAGCGGCGGGTGCCGGACCCCCAGGTAGAGCGACAGGTCTCGGGCCCCCAGCCGGAGCGACAGGTCTCGGGCCCTCAGGCGGAGCGGCGGGCGCCGGACCCCCAGGTGGAGCGACAGGTCTCGGACCCCCAGGCGGAGCGACAGGTCTCGGGCCCTCAGGCGGAGCGGCGGGCGCCGGACCCCCAGGTGGGCGACAGGTCTCGGGCCCTCAGGCGGAGCGGCGGGCGCCGGACCCCCAGTGGAGCGACAGTTCTCGGGCCCTCAGGCGGAGCGGCGGGCGCCGGACCCCCAGGTGGAGCGACAGGTCTCGGGCCCTCAGGCGGAGCGGCGGGCGCCGGGCCCTCAGGCGGAGCGGCGGGCGCCGGACCCCTAGGTGGAGCGACAGGTCTCGGGGCCCTCAGGCGGAGCGGCGGGCGCCGGATCCCCAGGTGGAGTGACAGGTCTCGGCCCCCAGGCGGAGCAACAGGTCTCGGGCCCTCAGGCCGAGCGGCACGGGCGCCGGACCCCCAGGTGGAGCGACAGGTCTCGTGCCCCCAGGCGGAGCGACAGGTCTCGGGCCCCCAGGCGGAGCGGCGGGCGCCGGACCCCCAGATGGAGCGACAGGTCTCTCGGGCCCTCAGGCGGAGCGGCGGCGCCGGACCCCCAGGTGGAGCGACAGGTCTCGGGCCCTCAGGCGGAGCGGCGGGCGCCGGACCCCCAGGTGGAGCGACAGGGGTCTCGGGCCCCTCAGGCGGAGCGGCGGGCGCCGGACCCCCAGGTGGAGCGGCAGGTCTCGGGCCCTCAGGCAGAGCGGCGGGCGCCGAGTCATCTGGCACGACAGTGGGCTCCGAGTCAACTGGCATGACCGCTGGCACTGGGTCAGACATTGGATCGTCTGGCTGGACAGCGGGCATCGGGTCACCCGGCATCAGGTCATTTGGCTCGACCGCGGGCACCGCATCATCTGGCAAGGCAGTGGGCTCCGAGTCAACTGGTATGACCGGGCACTGGGTCAGACATTGAATCGTCTGACTGGATAGCGGGCATCGGGTCACCAGGCATCAGGTCATTTGGCTCAACAGCGGGCACCGCGTCATCTGGCAAGGCAGTGGGCTCCGAGTCAACACTGGTATGACCGCGGGCACTGGGTCAGACATTGGATCGTCTGACTGGACAGCGGGCATCGGGTCACCAGGCATCAGGTCATTTGGCTCACAGCGGGCACCGCGTCATCTGGCAAGGCAGTGGGCTCCGAATCAACAGGCACGACAGTGGGCACCGGGTCATCAGGTACCGGATTGTCTGGCTCGACAGCGGGCACTGGGTCACCAGGCATCAGGTCATTTGGCTTGCCAGCGGGCACCGCGTCATCTGGCAAGGCAGTGGGCTCCGAATCAACAGGCACGACAGTGGGCATCCGGGTCATCAGGTACCGGATTGTCTGGCTCGACAGCGGGCACTGGGTCACCAGGCATCAGGTCATTTGGCTTGCCAGCGGGCACCGCGTCATCTGCAAGGCAGTGGGCACCGAGTCACCAGGTACGACAGCGGGCTCTGAGTCAATTGGCACGACAGCGAGCACCGGATCAGGTACCGGATCATCTGGATCAACAGCGGGCATCGAGTCAACTGGCCTAATAGGATCATCAGGCTGGAATCAGTTCATCATGCTGGGTAGAGGCATCAGGCCGAGTAGAGGCTTCAGGCCGAGTAGAGGCTTCAGGCTGAACCACGGAAGGCAGGTTCACCAGTTTTGGATACTGGCAGGATGGTATTGGTTGGAAAGAATTTCGCTTTTTTCTGGTTTTAACTACTGGAGCACTGCAAGTAAACGCAGGTCTGCAAACGAATGGAGCAGCTGGAGACAGAGAAGAACTGGAGGATGGAACAGGAGAGGGAGCAGTTGCTACAGAGGGCTATTTTTTACAGGGTTAAAGGCAGGATAGGTGCAGCGAGTGGGAACAGGGGACTGACATGCGGTAGATAGCCAAGTATACTGGGCTGTAACTGGAGGAGCTGGTGGGAATACAGGAGTAGAGTTAGAAGCAGACTGGGGTTTTTGTAAGCTGACTGAGGCTGGGTGTAACAAATCTGTCCATGTCTGCAGTAGGGGTTGAACAAAGCTGAGCTTACACAAAGCCTGTCTGGTCAATGACTGCACTGCGTTTATACAATCTCTTAGTGTCTGTGGTGAACATGTGGAATAACGCTCCAGAAAGTAACCCACATCATCCTCTAATAACCACACCAGGGACTCTACCTGGTCTGCACTAAATGGTGGCAAAAAATTCATCCCTGCATTCAGAGGAACCAGATGAAACCAACTCTGCACAAACCTCAATCAAAGGCTGCACCTCAGAGAACTCTGTGCCCTGATCTACTAGAACATGAGCAAGCCGTATACATTCTAGCAGTTCATCCCGGGGATACTCCTTCAGAGTTTGATAAGCATAACTCCCTGTCATCAAACACTAGCAGAGATAAATACTCAACCTCATCCAGATCCATCCTTCCCATCAACAAACCAAGATGGCTTCCCTGTGCAGCCACTTCTGGTCAGGATTGGCCTTGGTGTAATGTCAGGGCTCCCAGGTATGACCAGAGATGTGTGACTGACGCAGGGAAACGCAGACTTCAGATATGGGATAAACAATATAATTTATTAACACTAACAATACAAACATAAACGCAGTGCAATACTAAACATAATACAGTGCAAACAAACCAAACCAACCACCCACAGATAACAGTACATACAAGCAAGCGTCGTCAGGCAGGCCGGTCAATATCAATTGGGCAGGTAGGTACAGGGGAGCAAGCGGAGAATGGTCGGGGTCACAGGGCCAGGTTCAGCAGGTAGCAAGCAGCGTAGTACAGAGGGTCAAGCAGGGATGGTCAGGGTCACAAGCCAGGGATCAGAACAGGTAGCAAGCAGCGTTAGACAGAGGGTCAGCAAAGGAACAGAAACAGGATGCAGGACAGATACAGGGCCCAGGACAAACACACACCAAGGCAGAGTCTGTGGGTCTGGCCATCCCTTAAATACCCCAGCATAATCAGTTCCAGGTGTTAGCTGGCTGCAAAGTTGAGTCTCTGATTGCTGGGAGCACCCGCTAGCCAGCCCTGGTACTGCAGATCAAAAGGCAGGTGAGTCCCCACCATTGCTGGCCAGTCCATTCCTGACAATTACCTTTTTGGGGCTGATTCTCTCCACCACGGGGGTTGCGATGGATCCCCAAAAGGTATCAGCGATTTTAGAATGGCCGGTACCTACGGACAAGAAAGGCGTACAACGCATTTATTGGATTTGCAAACTTTTACCGAAAGTTCATTAAGAACTTTTCGGGCCTTGTGTCTCCCATTACCCAGCTCACCAAGCAGGGGATCCGTTTCCGGTGGACACCCGAGGCTCAAGCAGCCTTCGAGATTTTAAAGGAACTATTCACTTCTGCCCCGATCCTTAGTCACCCTGACTCCTCTCTGCCTTATATCCTGGAGGTGGACGCTTCGGAGAACGTGGTAGGGGCCATTCTATCCCAAAGAAAAGGTGCCAAGGAACTGATGCACCCAGTGCCTTCTTCTCAAGGAAACTGATGCCGGCAGAGAGAAAACTATGACATCGGAGACCGGGAACTCCTGGCTATTAAAACAGCCCTGGAGGAGTGGAGGTATCTGCTGGAAGGTGCAACACATCCAATCCTGATTTTCACGGACCATAAAAATCTGGAATACTTGAGGACCGCCAAACGTCTGAGACCACGCCAAGCAAGATGGGCACTCTTCTTCTCCAGATTCGTGTTCCACATCACGTACAGACCCGGGTCCAAGAATACAAAGCCTGACGCTCTATCACGTATGTTTGAGAACATAGAAGGAATCTCCAAACCCGACACTATCCTGTCCACGGGAAACTTTCTCGTCCTTCAAACACAACTACGCTCTAGACTACAGACCGCATCCATGGGAATGCCAAGCCCACCTGGGGTATCTCTACAGAGCAAGGAGGGTCTCTTCTGGAAATAAGGAAAATTGTGGTACCTGAGGAGGTCCGAACCCTAGTTCTGGGGCACTGTCACGATCACCCTTTGGCAGGCCATTTTGGAACTGCAAAAACCTTGGAACTACTCCGGCGGACATTTTTGGTGGCCAAACATGGCAAGAGATTGTGAACGTTACGTAAAGACCTGCGCCACGTGTCAGCGGAATAAGCCCACCAGAAGTAAGGCCTGGGGCTTATTACGACCATTACCCATACCGGATTGACCATGGCAGATGATCTCGATGGACTTTATTGTGGAGCTCCCACCATCCCAAGGCCATTCAGCGATTTTTGTAATCATTGATCGATTATCAAAAATGGCCCATTTTTTGCCACTAATTAGTACGCCTTCGGCTATGGAAACAGCGTAGATCTTCGTAAAGTAGTCAAGCTTCATGGGATTCCAGAAGACATCGACTCGGACCGGGGGTCCAATTTACCTCAAGAGTCTGGAAAGCATTATGTGAAGTCCTGGGGATCAAGCTGTCCCTTTCATCGGCCTACCACCCACAGACGAATGGGCAGACAGAAAGGACAAAACCAGAACGCTGGAGCAGTACTTGAGGTGCTACACGTCTTTTTTCTTCAAGACGACTGGCTGGCACTCTTGCCATTGGCGGAGTTCGCGTATAATAACGCGAATCATTCTGCTATCCCATTCTTCGCCAATTACGGGTTTCACCCCACGTTTTTACCTGACCTGATTCCGGAAAGCCCGGTTCCAGCTACACAGATTATGCTGGATTTTTTCTCAGCCAATAACAAGGTACTTCAAGAAGCCATTACGAAGGCCTAGGAGGACAGTAAGAGGGCCTTCGACAGGAAGAGAAGAGGGGAGCTAAGCTTGCAACCAGGGGATCAGGTCTGGTTAGCCACTACCAATTTGAGGTTGTCTTGTCCTTCGAAAAAGCTGGGGCCGAAATTCATGGGCCCATTCCGGGTGAAGCGGAGAATCAATGAGGTGGCATACGAGTTGGTACTAAACCCAGGAACCTTCAAGATTCACCCAGTGTTTCACGTGTCGCTACTGAAGCCAGCAATGCCAGATCCCTTCCCGGACCGAAGGTCCAGGCCGCCAGAACCTGTAACCATCAACGAACAGGAGGAATTCGAGGTTAAGGCAATCATTGACTGCAGGAAGAGAGGCGACCAGACACAGTTCCTGATCAAGTGGAAGGGCTATGGTCCCGAAGAGAACTCATGGGAACCGGCCCAAAATGTTCATGCCCCTAGACTGGTCCGGGAGTTCTATCATAGCCACCCACGGGGGAGAGATCGGTTGGGCATCCGGAGGATGCCCGTAGGGGGGGGGGGGGGCAATGTCAGGGATTGTGGCTACGAATGGCTCCGTGCATGCGCAGAGCCCCGATCCATTTTAGCCCATCGGACACTAGCACCTGGACAGCGGCGGCCGTGCAAGCGCACTCGCAATCGCGGCAGCTCGTCTGGCACCAATGGCAGGGCAGGGCACACTATTTAAACCTACCCTGCACCTACACACATTGCCGTATAGTCTTATCCCTGTGTACCCGTATCCTGTTGTTTGAAGATTCATTGCTGATCTGCCTGGACCTGACCTCTGCTGACTTCTCCTGCTCTGACCCCTGGCTAAGTTTGACCTGTCTTATGGATACTCCTACCTGATCTGAACTACTGGTACCGAGACCCGGTGAGTGACCTGACTATTCTTCTGCCTGTTGCCTTGTACTACGCTGACCTCTCTGGTACCGACCTGGCCCGTCTGACCACGCTCATCCGTCCACTTTTACTTGGCATAATAAAGCTCACCGAATTGCCCGTACAGTCCTTCTCTCACCTTGATCTAGAGGAGGTCTGGGGGCTCCTAACCTTGTGTCGTATTATTTGGCCCCACTCA